TCATTTTTAAACTTAGGTATATATTTAACAGTATAGTAACAAAGTTCAAGTTATTTTTCCCACAAAGAAAGTTTTCTGTAACTCTTTGTAAAGATAATTATGTATGAAAAATGTGCTGTTCTTTGAAGAGGGAAAAATATCCTTTTAAGACCAATTACCACCAGTTAATTATGGCTAAAAGTATATATAAAAAGTTTGCTCTTTTATAATTTCTATATCAACACTTGGACCCTATATAAGCCTCTAGACTATGTGGGGTGTTAGTTTTGTTCATTAAATTAATAAACATAATCTTGACTTTGCTGCTGATTTGTGGAGCCATCAGAATCTGCAGCCACACCAGGAATAGTGCCATAGAATTTCATATTTCATTAGCTGATTTTAGTTCTATTCAAAAAGTAGAATGTGCAAGAACTTGATCAAATTTCTACACACGTTGTAGAATCCTTTACTAATGGCATTTCTAGTTCAACTCTTTTCACTGAATTCATCATTTAATCGACGATTATAGCATGTTTAGTATATTGGACTATTAAAACCGGAATGACTGCTCAAAGTGGACAGACTCATTAAGAGAAGTGCAACCGAACAAGCTGCTCCCATGAGTACAAGAAAGGTAAATTCAACCATAAAATGGGCAACCCCCTATTCAAATTAAAAGAAGTCTTGGTAGGGATAACATATCAACGTCTCAATTATAAATATTTTCTCTAGTTTTCCATAAAAATAAAATAAAATCTCCTCTCTAGTTATATCACACCATGTATACCAAACATAACATACTCTTAAGAACTGTTGCATAGTTTACCTTTCAAAAAAGATAAAGGAAGAAAATGATGAATTTCAAAGTGGCACTCAACCCTCCATTCTCCGTGTATAGAAAGCACTTTCCATGGTTGGCTCCTGGAGATTGGGAACACTCAATCGCACAAGAAGATTGAAAAGGAAAGCATCTTTAATACTGTAATAAATATAGACTTTGAAGCCACGGATGGTAGGCTGTAATGCATGATCATACAAGTCACAAGTTGAATATTCATCATTCTTTATACGAAGTGCAAATGGGAGTTGCTGATAGTGACTGATAAAACTTCTCATTCCTTTTCAATCTTAAATAATGGTCCCTCCAGAATTTTGTATCTCTTCTCCTATTCGAATTTATGAAGAGAGATTGCATCTTTCATACGCAGTTGTTGATGGTAAAAACTGGATCAAATGATTTTATTGATAAACAATTACAATCAAAGATCAATGTTCGTGCAAAACCCGCAACTATACGGGATCGTTGACAAGTAATACGTGATAAGTTAAGAGTTATCGCCCACAGGGAATAAATTTCAATCAAGTGTATAACTCTTTATTTAGATTCAAAGTGAGCAAA